GAAGCACTCCATTTTTTTTTTATAAATGGGGCGCTCCTCTGCATAAAATGTGGGAGCATAGGTTTTCTCCCGATTATGGTATTATGCATTTAGAAGAGGCTAGTAATGTCATTTTCGTCGGTGGGGTGCTCGCTCGGCCATTATGTTTGTATTTATTTTTGGGGTTTAGGTGGATAGGTTTTTTTAATCTTGTATAATTGGGTCTGACGGGAAGTGGTTTTTGTTTGTCGTTTTGGGGACAGGCGGAGACATTGACAGAGCTTCTACGGCAACCGAGATCCGGCAACGTCGCTGCACGAGCATCAGACGTGTCATTATAAAATGCTCCCACATCATCACCCCCCATGGCCATGTAAACAATCCAACAGCGAAAGAGAAGAGTAAAACACAACCCAAAAAAAAAAATAAAAATCGTAAACTTGTAAATATCTATGTTTCGGAGGAGCTTCAGGCTCAGCTTGTAAAATTTGTGATAAAAGCATTAAATCGAGCTCAGTTTGGTTTGCCTTTTTGGAGCTTGTGTTTATTTACTCGAAAGGAATGTGTCCCCTTGCCTACCACTTAGTATAAAAGCTAAGAATAGTGTGTTATCATCATTATCTTCGAGGATTTAGTATATTATTAACATTGTTAATTCAAATTAGGGACTGATTAAGGAGATAAAATAATAAAACGATAATAAAGGGAAAAGTATGTTCTATACTAACCACATATTATAATAAATAAAAATGAAAATGATTATTAATCAAGTGGGAGGTAAAAAAGCAGTCTAAACTCCGGAGGGTCGCTGCTGAGAATGCGATTTTGCTTTAAGAGATAAAAAATCAATGTCTTTTTGAGTGTTTGATTTTGATGTCATCGCCACGAGGTTCGCGTGCATGAGAATGACGACGGGAAAATGATGGCAGTCCAAATGGGTTAAGAGGAATAAAAACTTCCATGCAATGTATGGGGATAATATATATTGTTATTTTCAATTAATAATTTAATGACACATTAAATTACTTTTCAACTAATAATTTAATGATCACTCACCGTTGGATGTAAAATAGCAAAAAAATATTATCCCGTTACAAATAATTTTTTCTGTTTAGGATAAGAGGAGTAGGGGAGGAGAGTGTTCGTTTCGTAAGCAAGCAACTTTTGTTTTTATATAATTAACCTTTGATTTTTCGAACATTATTATGCACCCAAAGTGTTTGCCACGTGTGCGTTTTGCCGTTATTTGTAGCAGTTGGTCGTTTAGTCCCATCATAGATGGGGTCTCTGTTCTCTGGGTCCCATTGTTGACGGCTATAGTGTAGGTCGGCGAATATGAATTCGACACGTTCTTCCGAATATGAAGACGCCATTTATGAGCTTTTTTTTCTTCTTCTTCTTTTCTTCTTTATGCTTGACAAACGGACTGGAAATTGAGATAATTGAGCCGAGCTTCTTGGGGTTTAGGTTGTGAGATTCAAATTCAGCCTGCAGTCCCTATCACATCCATCATGTCATTATCCACGTTAGGGCTTAAGAGTTTTAAATAACGAAAATGCTAGGGAGACCAACTTGGAATACCAACTTGTGTACCAACTCTCTAATAGAGCGTGGAACCCATTGTATTGGTGGGCTCCATCTCTATTAGAGAGTTGATACACAAGTTGGTATCCCAAGTTGGTCTCCCTAGCATGACCCTTTAAATAAATAGATAGGGTGGTGATTTTTCCACTTCCCTTTTATCCACCTATATTATTTTTTATTTTTAAATATTTTTTACTATAAGATAAAATGGAATGTAAGTGAACAAAATAGGAGTGAGAACATATAATTTTAAAAAAATGGAGTGTAAGTTGATAAAAAAAAAGTGGGAAAATCAGTACCTAACATATATTATTTGGTCTTCCAATTATACAAACAGGAGAAAGTTTAGCTTAGTGACAACAACTGAATTTGCCCATGGAAATTTCAAGTATCAACTACCGATTAATTAGATGGAAATATTTTTTTCACCATTTCAACCCAAAGTGTATCATGCTTGATATACGTCTATAGACATAATTATAGTTATCTTTTTACTTTATATTTATGGAACCATAGTTATGCATATGGACGCATGTCAAATATTGAAAAAGAATACACCTTGGTTTAAAAAATATATATATTGTAAACTAATATCCCCATATAAGATATTTGGCAAGTGTTGTGAAGGTATTTGGTTAAGGAAAAATGTAACCTTTAGTACAACAACGTGAGTTTCATTTTACTTTTAAGTGGAAAGTCAAGACAAATATCAATTACGATTTTCCATGAATTCCTTTTGTGTGAACCAAATGTCCTAAACCTTGACATTTTTTCTTAATTTTTCTTGATATGTTTTAGATTATAGTCGACTTAGTTGATTATGTTAATTCACCATAGGCGATGGCGTAAAATTCTGCTATGATAGAAAGCCTATTTGCAGACAGAAGGTCCAAAACCTAAGTTTCAAATAGAAATCAGCGCGACCCTTTATCACCATCAACATCACCATTTGTTTGCATTGGTTTTTATGGTCAGCGAGCGGGAAGAAATAATACACACATGGATCCAAAAACATCATATCACCTACCATCCCTTCAAATTAATTTAAAAATTAGCTACTAATGATAAGAAGCTTCCACATCACTTCATGGGGTCTTTGCCTAACCACCCATATAATTCAAATTTCAATTTCAAATCCCTTATCGATACTAAAAACCCGAAAAAAAAAAGAACATCATAATTAACATTTTGATAAAATTGGGTGCAATGTTCCTTTTAGCTATATATAGCTCATGGATGGCTGGCTCAAAAATTTACTCACTAGAACAAGACCAGGTCTTGCTTGGGTCATAAGGAAGGAGGCGGCTATGGCAATGGGCAAGTATACCGTCTACTTCTACTACTTGCACCCACACACGCTAAAATAAAGAATGTCAAAAGGCCTTGATTGGCCACATCCTTGGAGCATTTAACACGAGCAATATTTCGTCTTTTACCTCTTGACTTCACTGTTGAGTGTTGAGCGACATCGTCTCTCTTTCCTCTGTGAAAGTAAAGACAATGAGACAGCAACTAACTGCCCTCCAAATTTGACCATACCAGTACTATTTATTGTCTTTTTTTTATATTCTTTTTGGATATGTTTCATTATGTGTTAGTCTTTAATGGTGTTAATCATATAAGCTAGTAGCAGGTTGGGTCTTCTACTCAACTTTGATTGGACACCAAACTTTCGTTTGCTTGTCAAAATCATTCATTAAATATTATTACTCCTGGGGCTTAGATTCTCATTAAGGCCAAAAAATAAAAATAAATTTTTTTAAAATTATGGCAAAAATATATATTTTCCAAATGGGGTCTAGTGTCAAGTTGAATAAGGCATTCACTTGCACACTAGTGATTTTATGTTTGAACGAACCTCTATAGCATATTGACAGTGTTTGTACCTACAAGAATTCTATATTGAGGGCTTTATATATGACTCTTAGGTGAGGTATTATCTTTTAACCGTTGGATCAAATTGGTTAGTTATTAAATTAAATTGGTTTTGTTAGGAGAGAAGACCCCACTCTACAAGAATTCTATAGTGAGGGCCTTATATATGACCCTCATGTGAGGCCCTATCTCTTAATAGTTTGATCAAATTAGTTAGCCGTTTGGTCAAATTAGTTAGCCTGATCAAACAGTTAGGAGATAGGACCTCACTTACGGGTCATAGGCCCTCACTATAGAATGACTCCCTCTGCCTAACTTCGGCCCAGAAGAAAATCATAAATAGCCTGATTGGACTTTGGCGAACCCTAACATGCAAAGAGGACTGTGGAGAGTTTACTGGGCTTGTGGGGATGAAGGGAGCCGCGTGTTGTTGAGTTGGGCTGTAAAATAACTTGGAGGTTTTGGATAAAAAAGGACATGCGTAACCCAAACCATAGATGGGCAGACTTACGTGGAGACCAAACGTGGCCATGGTCCACCCTGCATAGTTGTGAAAGATCTTCGATCTGATGCGTTTTGTTTTTGTTTTTTTCATTGTTGACAATTCGAATTTTTTAACAAATTCTCTGAGGTTTATTCTTCCATGTGGGTTATTTGTTATTTTCTGTTTTTGGACCATGGACTTTTTATTTCTATTTTTTTTTAATAAAAAAAAAGTTTAGTGGTAGATTAGCTACTCTCACCACTAGTGCTAAGGCATGCCCACAATCTCGAGGCCAGAAGGATTTACGCATGGCACCCAATTGTCAGCTGTCACGGGTATGAATTTATGTATGAAATTACAGATCGCTCACTAATGAGGAATGCTGACAGCATGACTCAAACACTAATGGGACTGCACACAAAACAGGGACCTTACCAACTGAACCAACCTTTGTTGGCTTTTTTGACCATTATATGATGCATTCCCCTCCCTCCGTGTGCGTAGTTTTTGGGTCAGCCACCCAATCATGAAGAAAGAAATTGCATGCATATATAGTACCTAAAATACTTATATTTTTATTCGTTCTTTCTTTCTTTCTCTGATTCTATGAGCAAGCCAGAGTAACTAATATCTTTTTAATAATTTTGTCTGTTTAGTTATTTCATTGAATGAAAGAATATTTATATGAACAAGAACAAAAACAAAAGCAGAAGGAATGCTTACATTTAATGAATTTGGTATATACAAAAATCATCCGTAAATTTAAGAGTTTTTTGACATAGTTTTATATGAAGTCATACACATTGGACTAGCAGTCTTGAGTTGAGTTCCAATCTGGAATTGGTAATATGATATGATATGGCAATTTTAATACAAGTTCGATATTAAAGTCTATTTATGCGGCGGTGTAACGATCATGCTTGAGCAAATTCTCGTCAATAATGTGATTGATTATATATTTAAGATGAACTTTATTAGTGATTGGACATTATATTGTCTTATACCTACAATATTGGTTTCCAAACTTATTTAATTATATCTGCAATGTAATGTACGATAAATAATCATCGTATGGATATGGAACGAAGTAGATATTTTTAAAATTAAGGGAAAAAAAAAGTCCATATAAGAAGCCAAGTACAAATAGAAATGAAAGCAGATTCCAAACCACAAAAGAAAAAAGAAAAAGAAAAGAAGGAAGGACGACAATTGTTCATCACGTGACAATCACATGGAGATTCTTATCCTCCCCGCGGATATCATATATAGTCCAAAGTGGTTTTGCCCCTAAAAAGGACCAACGTCCACACCTTGAGGGACAGGTGTCACCATCTCCATCCTTATTGCAATTTCTCCTCTCTGGGGCCCCGCTTCGTTAGCTACTACAAACTGTGGGGCCCACCTACGACGACGCAAGGGCATGCCGGAGCTTCCTTATCAGCAGGCTCGGCGCGCTCAGATGGGGCAAGTGCCCCTCCGTCTCCAGCATCACGATCGTGTTCCGACCGCCCAGGTGGTCCCTCAGGTAAGCCGCCACCGAGGCCGGCACGGACACGTCCTTCGCCGTCTGGATTATGCAGCAGGGCACTCTGACCAGGCCCAGAACCCCCCTCAAATCGCTGTTGAAGACGGCCCGAGATACGAAAAGCGAGATATCGGGTCGCATGTTGAAAAGGGTTCGGCTGAACTCTCGGACTGCCGCCGGCACGTCGGCTCCGACGGCTAACGGCGCAAAGCCCTGGACCCACGCCGAGTAGTTCGCCTCCATTGCTGAAAACACCTTCTCAATCTCCTCTTGCTCAAATCCGCCATGGTAATCTCTATCATTCAAAAATCTAAAAACAAGAAAAATTGGATTATTGGGTTTGGACCAAATCAATTTTGAGAATTTAACATTGCGGGTAATTGAATAATGTGTCAATTGCGCTCGTAATTGAGGCAAAATTTTAAATTATTCGATTTATATGGTTGGCCGATTACCTGGGAGAAGCGCCGATGAGGACGAGCTTGGAGAAGAGGTTGGGTCGGCGGATGGAGGCGAGAATTCCGATCATGGCAGAGACGGAGTGGCCAACGTAGGCGCAGCGGGTGACGGAGAGGGCGTCGAGAATGGCGAGGAGGTCGTCGACGTAGGCGTCGAGGGTGGTGTAACGGCGGAAGTCAAAGTAGTCCGGGTTGACGCTGCCGGCGCAGACGAGGTCGTATACGATGACGCGGTAGGACTGCGTCAGGTAAGGGAGAATGCGCTGCCAGGCGGACTGGTCGGTGCCGAAGCCGTGGGCGAGGACGAGGAACTTATCGCCGGAGCCAACCACGCGGACGTTGAGGGCGTCGATTATGCTGGTGCTGACCATCTTTGACTGTTAACCGGAGTAGGGGCTTCACTCTTCACTGATCTTCTTTAGCTAGCTTTGGAGATTTCTAATTTTAATTTTCAGTTTTTATTTTATTTGGGGGTTGGAGGAAATTAATGGGAATTAGGTGGAGAGTGGTGAGTGGGTGGTGGTGGCTTGAGAGTTTCGTATGTGGATGGAGTGGTATTTATATTGCTACGGAAGTATCTGTGTGGGGAGAAGTAGATTGGCTTTTTCCCCTTGTTTTTTTTTTCATTTTCTTTTGGTTTGGTTGTGAATTGTTTGTGACAGGTTTGTATTGTGTTGTGATGCTGCTTTGCGTTTTGTCCAGGGGCATATGGTTTTGGACGAAGCTTTTATCCTGTGTGATAAGGCAGGTTTTTGATTGTGATCTTTTTCCACTCGGATAGTACTTGGCCTTCAAAGAGGTGGCCCGGGTGTTGTGTTCTTAGATGAGGTTTTTTATTAGAATTTTCAGTTTGGTTCATACCAAATACAATTTGGTGTTTTGTGGCTCATACTTCCTGCCAATAGCAGCAGTGTGACGCTGATATGTGTGCATAAGTTTTTCCTTTTGTATTTTAAATGAATTATTTTTATATATGTGTCAAATTGTAATTCGCATGAAGAATGAATATCTCATTACAAGCGGAGAGGAGAAGGCAAATAGTATCGTTATACAAATATGTGTAATTTGACAAAAACAAAAACATAGAAAATAAAATATAAAATAATTGTACAGCTTTAATCATCAATGATTTGACTCTTGATCATGTAGTAAGGCATGCTTTGTCTCTTGATAATGTATTATACTTTTCCCCATGCACAACCCTCAAAAAACTAACCCAATTGGCAGTTTTAGATTAGACTCATGAATTTCCACAGGGTTGACTTCCAATTACAATTTTGACTTATTGGGTAGTAAATTTAGGGGGAAGGTGAGGAGAGGTGAGAAAAATAGATTTTGATGGGTACTGTACTGAAATTCTCATTGGCTGGACTTGGACATGATTGGTATTTCACTGCCTAACCTAACAAACACATTGGGATTTTCCTATGTGGTCCTGTTAGCAAAAGACATGAAAAAAAAATATGTCACCGCTTGCACATAAATTTCATGTCTTATGGGCTTTGTGTTTGTATGGAGACATGCATCCCTCTGATAGAGATGGCATTTGGTGGTCTCAAAACTCAACCTATATATATATATATATATCAAAAGAAACCACTCAAAATATATAATAAGTTGGTTGAATTGGCACCGCATTCACAATCTATGGTCAGGAGGCTAAGTACAGAGAATATCGTGTGCCCCACTTTTATAATCCTTAATCTGATTTCAATATCTCAATCCATATATGGATACAAAAAAAATATAAGGGAAGATTACTTTTTTGACAGAAAGAAGAAAAAGAAGGGAAGGTTACTTGGTCGAAAAGTATACTTAATATGGAAGAATTTTAATTAAACGTGCCACGTGGTGCTTCGGGTACCTTTGATCTGTTGGATGTGTCCGTATGTGATGATTATGCTATGTATATATGATACAAGTGCATAATGACAGGTGAAGGGAAGTACGTTCACAATGATAACGATGCGGACCGTATGGTGCGAAACACATTAACAAAATTATGGACCAGAATGCAGGAAGATCATGTTCACATGAAACAGGCCTACCAATTGAACTGTCAGAAGCTAGGCAAATATCAAGTACTCTTGTTTCATTTCATATCAACCCTCAATTTCCTTATAAAGGTAGTCGCCTTCGCACATGCATGAGCGATGGTCGGATCTTAATGTTTATGATTTCTGCTGTGTATAATAGGTCATAGTTACTCACGCACGCACCCACGCACGTGGGCAAACTTTAGCGCATATTTTTATGTCCTGTTATGGATTAGATTGTGAAATATGTTGTGATGAGTATGATGCGTCATGAGCATGAGCAAAACAAGAGTCCAAGAGCAATGGATATGAAGGTTTTAACATTTAGAATCTGATTCAATGGAGGTAGCCTTCAACCCAAAAGAAAATATACCATGGAGAGAAACATGTATGGTCCATCTTCTTCTCGTTGCCGCATCCAACTCGATATATCATTGGCTACAAAATTGACATTCTCCATTTGTTTCCCCAACATTATTTTTCCACACCCCCCCTTCACGAAATTTCCCATCTTTTCGATAAAGTTTGCTCTCTCTCTCTCTCTCTCATGCAAATCTTTTCAATATCGTCTCTAGTACAACTACTGTTGCTAGTACTGTTACTGGTACCATTCTCAGCTGTAAATAAGCATAATGAATTTCATTTTGAAAAAGATAGATCATGGGTTATAATTGCAAATGATATTCGATATCCATTATAAGAGATAGAAATATAGCCAAAATTGTGGATCTTATAGAGACACATGGTCTTGGGTATATTTAGAGGGTACACTAGTTAAGTCTCATGCATGTACCCATTGAACCTTGCATGTGCATATGTTAATTTGTGTCGTGGCTCCTGAAAGTGATAACTTTCCCACTCTCTTTTATTATTATTTTTTAATTTTATAAAAATGATATTTTAAACTATTCAAATGTGTCAAAGAAGCAGGAACCAACGGGCTGCAAGAAAGAAGCAGCAAGAGTGGAATCGTGTGGAGTGCAGGCAAGTGTTTTGGCTCTAGCTTGGTTTTGACGTGATTTTTTTTTTGGGTAGTTTGTTTAGGGTTATAAATACGATTTTTGGGGCTAGATTAAACTTGCGTGCATGTGCATATGTTAATTTGTGTCGTGGCTCCTGAAAGTGATAACTTTCCCACTCTCTTTTTTTTATATTTTTTTATTTTATAAAAATGATATTTTAAACTATTCAAATGTGTCTAAGTTGGCTCACCATAAATGCGGAAGGAAGAAGGAACCAATGGGCTGCAAGAAAGAAGCAGCAAGAGTGGAATCGTGTGGAGTGCAGGCAAGTGTTTTGGCTCTAGCTTGGTTTTGAGGTGATTTTTTTTTTGGGTAGTTTGTTTAGGGTTATAAATACGATTTTTGGGGCTAGATTAAACTTGCCGAGCCAAAGAGAGGCCGGGGAGTTTAGAAGATAGAGTCACAAGAGAATTCAAGAGGGAATTCTTGGGAAGTTTACAAGAGCATCAAAGGGTTTGAGCGAGGGTGTGAGAGAAATTAAGACTTAGGGTTTGAGAGAATAGAGTGTTAAGGGGTTTTGAGTTATAAACCAAACAACTAGTTGTTTCTATTTTTCTAATTAAATTTTTCAAGAGAATCACTAAATAAGATGTAGGCACGTTGCCAATTCTTTATAAATATTTGTGTTATTGTGTGTTTGCTTACTTTCTTCATGGTGTGTGTGATTTTTTCTCAAGGGGTTTGTGTGTGCTGTCGCATAGTCCATTAACGATAAGGTCTTAAACCCATCTTGATCATCATCTCTGGCATTGGGCAAAGCTAATTAATTAGCTAGCTAGCCATATGTGTTTGTGTTATTGTGTTATTGTGTGTTTGCTTACTTTCTTCATGGTGTGTGTGATTTTTTCTCAAGGAGTTTGTGTGTGCTGTCGCATAGTCCATTAACGATAAGGTCTTAAACCCATCTTGATCATCATCTCTGGCATTGGGCAAAGCTAATTAATTAGCTAGCTAGCCATATATAGCCTAAGAAAGTAGGCTTCCATTCCATCAATTGGATATAAAGGCGTGTGAGCTAGAAAGTCGGGTCCCCTGGCCATTTCATACTTGACAAGGACGTTGTTAAATGTTAGGAAAAGAGAACGGAAGACAAAAAGGGTGTGTGGTTTCTAGAATTGCATAGAGGTTGTTCGTGTGCACCCAAAGTTTCATGGCTTAAATTTGGTTGGATGACTCATATAAGGCTTATCGTCTTATCTACTTTACTTTTGGGGGTCTTTACCTTTTGTTGTCTAGCATCTTCCTCGTATTCTATGCAATTATATAATCCATGTATTATAGGCTTTGTTAGAATGGGATACCTATGGCTATGGCCTCTACGTTCTCCTGTTATTAGTCCTTATTTTCTTATTTTTCACAATTAGATTCCTCAATTTTTTAAATTTGTTACAATATGGTTCTGTAATTAGAATTTCTATTATATCTCTTTGTTAATTGCCTACGAGGTATTGTGGGTCCTATATTTTTCATTTTTTAAAATTTTAAATTGATTAAAATATTAAATAATAAAATTCTCTCTCTCGCTCTCTCTGTCTCCAACACCCACACCCCCAAATCCATACCACAACCATCAACATGGATCATCAAATCTCGGTCAAATGATGAAATTAGACCATTTTGAGTTTATGAGAGTTAATTTATATTTTGACCGAAGTTTCAGAAGTGATTAATGGAATTAAGCTTTTAAATATATAGGCCACTACAAATGATCCGACAAACATATCACATATGGGAAGAATCCACAACCCTTGAGTCTTGTGCTTACACATGTCGTCTATATTCACACGACACTTGTACAAAAGGGTCCCATACATAAACTCATTTGACTATATGCAAGTATTTGTTGCATAGGCTATGATATCATTCTATGAAGAAGACTTTCTGAAGAACATCATGAAATAATTTCTCAAACTAAGCCACTCATATGATTCCTATATCGATATAATATATATGTGAATAGAATTGAATAATGTTGCAGTTGAAATAGTTTTCCTTTCCTTTCCCCCACTATCTCTCCTAATCAAATGGCTAGCCAATAGCCACGTTCCCCGCAATATTGCCATCATACACAAATCTCTCATAAAGGGAAAAAATAGTGTGCTTAATTATTCTTGAACTGAAATAATAGAAGAAAAGGGCTATTTAAAGTAAATGAACCCTAGGTTTCCATTGATGCCATGTCGCCTAAAAAAGGCAGGTTTGGATAATCCATGTATCATTACCTAGAAGAATATTTACTCGAACCGATTTTGGACATAATCATGTATCATAAATAAATCCATTAACTTTTGTAGCTTTCGTCCATGTTCATGGACCAAAGCTTTCCACTTTTCAATCCCAACCCAACATTTGTTTTTAGGATAAAGAAGTCTCACTCAGATTTCTTTTTCTCAAGCACGCGTGCGTGTACATGACTCTGCCTCCCACTCCAATGGTTTCCCATGCTATGCTAGGAGGTGACTTTGTGTTTTGCATCTTCGATTCTCATCATCAATAATTTAGATTTGATGTACTTGGATAAGGTGGAAGCAACAACGTACGATCAACCAATTTTCCTCCTATTATAATTTTGATTACATATTAATTAAAAATATAAATATAAATCATCCTTTTACGGGTATGAATATTTCTCTTATCATTTATATACTGGTTGTTCTTATGAATCTAGCTTTGTGCAATTGTTCCAACTTTTCTTTAACTTTCAATTATGTTTCATTGGATATGCGTAACGGAGTTTGTTGGTGTGTTAAGTAGCCTTCTTTAATGGGCAACCGATGCTCAACGAGTTTTCTGTCAAAACCGGACATTTCATGATAATACCAAGTAAAACAATCTTTAAACTCATGAAGGGGGTGCGCAATCATATCTGATTATATATTGGACTTTTTGCTTCTTGTTTCTATTGTTCTTATGTGGCGATTTCTTGTCCGTAAAGGACAACATGTGTTTAACGGCGGGTTATTATGGATGGTTACAAAGATATGATAGTACATTTTTGACTTAATTTGTACGGGTGATATTAAGTTATACAAAAACGGTAAAGAAAATAAAATAAATAAAACAAGTGGAAACATAATGAAAATGATTTGTTTTTGGACCTTTTGTTAAAGTCTTCATGGATATCTAATGGTAGTTGTTGTGGGGTATCCATTGCTAATGTGAAAGATCAGAATTCTACGTTTTATTGACAAGAAAAAGAGTGTAACGTTATATGCACTTCTCCATATTGTTGTTGAGGGTAGCTCCCATATTAATAAAGTGAAGCCTTTTAATATAGAATACAACTAATGCCATTCATTCATTTATCAAACTAGTTCTTTGGGTTAGTTTGGATGTTCAATTGTATCACATATAATACTCTCTTTTTTATATATAAATACAAGCGATAATTTTAAACTACAAGCGATAATTTTAAACTACAAGAAGAAGGAGATTTCTCACACACTACCAAGCGATAATCTATCATATATCACATTCATCAATTGTATCACATATAATACTCTCTTTTTTAAATATAAATACAAGCGATAATTTTAAACTACAAGAAGAAGGAGATTTCTCACACACTACCAAGCGATAATCTATCATATATCACATTCATCATCTGAAATAATAAAGGAAGAACTATTTTGTAAGACAACCCTCGGTGGTTGTAGCTAGGTAAGTTTTATCTTGTGTTTTAGGACCATGCACGTCTACTAGTCACTCATGTTACTCTTGATTTCACTTTTGTTATCCTATTTCACCTTTGCAGTTGCATGATCGAATGAGGATCTTTCACTTCATAGTTCTACTGTGGATGGATCATGGATGACGCATGTGACCTATTGAGGAACACATTCGTCGGCATCTCCTAAGCACATAAAATCTCCTGACTCATGTAATTAGACTAGATTAAAGAGACAAAGAATCTTAACTTATCAAACGCTATAATTTAGAAATGTGATAGATTATGGCCTACACTGCACGCGTGCATTGGTAAACATATGTACGTCCACACATTCTTGGATATCTAATTGCAAAGATTGTGGGGTTTCCATTTTGTTGTCTGCTTAGTTTCTCCTACTGTTCTATCTATTATGTGACAATTAAACATTTGACTTTTGTAATACCAATCTAAACACAATAGGGCTGCAAGTTGGTTCCAGAAAAAGTTCGAATTTGTACAGACTTGCATTGGATTCACTTCGTTTACACTCGATTAAGAAACAAGCCAACTTCGACTTGGTTTGCTCGACCCTTATCTTATAAGAAGCTTGCAAGGATGTATTAAATAATTATTTTCAAAGTGATTCTATCCAACAACAAAATGAGAGAGCATTATTGTGCTTATTTTTTTTCTTTTCATTTTTTCAATTATATCTTAACTATTATTATTCACTATTTATCATTAAAGCTTTGTCGAGTACTAATAATATTTGGCTTTACTCAGCTAGTTTACATACTCATAGGTGTCTATAATATTTGTACTTTCGTTTTATGAAATTAATACCTCATTTATTTGAATTAAGGAGGCGGGCCAGTAGATTCAAAATTTCGAAACTAGGGCTCTAGGCCTCGACTGAAAAGAGCAATTTGAATGGCCCCTCTGCAACTTGGGCCTGGGTGGGGTCTGATTTTTAATACTAAATGATAAAAGTCAACGTCCAATCCAAGTAAAGAAATGGGTTTGGTTTGCGAAAAAATACAAATGGGGGTTTGTCTTGCACATGGGCTTTTAGCCCCCTTTTGGGAAATGGGGCTTATCCTGAAATAAATCGCGAAATTGCAAGGAAACATCACGGGAATGCCTGCACGAGCACGACAATTGAAAAAGGCATTGGGGACCCACTCAGTCACTCACACGACACAACAATCTTCCATATTAAGCGTTTTCTCCACCCACTTCGGTTGCAGGCTTGCAGCTACTTTATTCTTATTGCCGGCTTTAGACAGTCTTCTTTGCACAAATTACATGTGTACAAGATGAAAAATGTTTATAACACTTCAATCGATGGACCGTACATCTTAATGTATGTTAATTTCAGCACAACAAGTTTGATTTTAATATGAAAATGATGTTTAACTGCTATTCTACTAGTCTTGCTCTTGGTTAGAAAAATTATGATGAGTAAATATAAGTGGTTGAACTTGAGAGCACCTTTCCTAAGCCCGAGTTATTGTGATGGACCCTCTCTCATTCAATATTCAATATTGTATTTTGTCAGGAAAATGTCAAAAAGAAAATACCTTTTATTTGTAATTGTTTGTACTTGTACATAAATGATTTTGATAAGAACTTAGATATATTTAGTCATATATCCATTCTGAGCACTAATAATATAGATAAACTCTACACCATTTAATTTCTATTAACAAACCCAAAGAAAACCCAAAAAATGATAGCTGACCCTATTGAATTTAGTTTTGATTATTAAATTACTTTAATACTCTATTGAGTGTTTTGAGTTTTTTTTTATGAAGTTTTGAGGTTGGGTTTGTTTCAAGATATTAATGATAGTTTTGTAATTTAAAAGAAGGTAAAAGTCTTTTTGTTATATTAAAAATGGACTTTGGGTGTGTTTCTAAAATTCATTTTATATATGACTTTTTTATTTATAATTTGAACTCATACATTGGATATAATAGTGAATCTCCCAAGAATTTATCCTGTAAGATGCTTTCGATTTCAGGGAAGTGTGTGTGATTATTTGTCCCATCCTCGCCCATGTGATCCTCCATTATGGCTCGTACAGACAGATCTCACTTATGCTGCCTACGCATTTTAAAATGGGAGGGACCACACCATAAAATAACAAATAAATAAAAGCGTTATGGGCCCCATCTCCGTTTACACTTTTCGATACCCTATAACGCGCTTCAAGTCCACCACCAACCAATCAACAGCATTTAAAAAAAAAATTCAAACCAATTACCCCTCTTCGACGCGGACTCACGCGGCAAACGATATTTTTGTTTTTTACTCTCTCTCTCTCAAGGGTCAATTCTGGTCTTATTTTTCATTTGAATTTGAAAAAGAAAAAAATCAAAATCAAAACAGAGACTAAAGACTAAAAAAGACGATTCGAGTTACTGTTGGTAAAAGTTTTTGTTCCTCTGGTTCGGCCTGCCTTTTGATTCTTTGGTGGTGTGTTTGAGTAAAGGCTAGGGTTTCTGTGTATAAAATTGTGTATAGAAGAAGAGCCGGAGAGGTCGCGTTTGGTGAAGCTGCGAAGCTGAGATGGAGAGCTATTTGAATGAGAACTTTGATTTGAAGGCGAAGAACTCGTCGGAGGAGGCGCTTCAGAGATGGAGAAAGCTCTGTTGGATTGTGAAGAATAAGAAACGGAGGTTCCGCTTCACTGCTAATCTCCCCAAGCGTTTCGAGGCTGAAACTATTCGACGCTCCAATCAGGTTTAAATCGCTTTCTATTTTGTTTTTTTGCTTCCTTCTTTTTCTTTTTTCCAGCTAATCAGTCCTTATGATTGATTAGTTGTCTTTGATCCAAAAGGTACTTACCATACTTGTAAACGACTGCTAGAAGTCTAGAATAGATCAAATCATTAATCTGAATTTTAAATTAATTAAAGTTCCATTCCTGCGTACTTGTAGATTTACATTTGAGTTATTTGCATGCTTAACAAAATCAAATCCACACAGATATGGAAAGTTGAGGCACATCTCGAGCAACATATTTTAGATGTAAGGAAGAGTGAAAAGATTTCGTTATGGGGATGATATATTATTCGAAATTTGAGATCATGTATTCCAGGTGGACGCTGAATTATCCTTGCTGTTAACAGATCCAGTTGTCCTGCAAATGTTATTATTTTCAATCACAGCTTGAACAAGTTGCCATTTGGTGTTGTCGGATTTCACTGAATGTTGAACCATGTGGAAATGGAAAATCCTGAGCAAGTAACTTGCCACTGAATTTGGTATAGTGATATGGAGTGTGCTACGATGATGTTCCATAAGAGGACTCAAACGTTTATTGCTTGCATGACATGAGAATTTATTTTGGCTGGATGTCTGGGAACGTACTAAAGTCTTGAACAATATCATTTCCAGAACCATGCATGGTGAAAATTTTCAGTAATTCAGCTGCTTTAAATGATCTTATGCTGCATGTAAATGAATATAAGTTCAATTCCGCGGTGAACAGTAGTTACTGTATCATGAACTATGAAATTAAGGTCTACTATAAAACAAAGGAAATTAAGGTCTACTATAAAACAAAGGAAATTAAGGTCTACCATACTTTCTGTGGAAATATATATCTTACTGTCTTATAAAGGAAAATTATGTTTCTTACTGTGGACTTGGTTTTCTTTTTTTCTTTTTTGTTTTTTTGCATCCGTTCTTCTTCGGTTGAATTAATAGGAAAAGTTTAGAGTTGCAGTTTTGGTTTCACAAGCTGCACTTCAGTTTATCCAAGGCAAGAATCTTAACCTACTTGGTTCTAAAGTTGGCTATACGATGGTTATGTTTTTTCAAACAAGAGTTCTCTTTATGTTATCCATTTATTTAGTTTTCAACCGTCAAATGTGTGCAGGCTTAAGTTTTCTCAGTGACTATACTGTACCTGAGGAAGTCAAAGCTGCAGGGTTTCAAATTTGTGCTGATGAGTTGGGCTCGATTGTTGAAGGCCGTGATGTGAAGAAGCTGAGAATTCATGGTGGTGTTGAGACTATCACGGGCAAGCTTGGAACATCAAGTGTCAATGGAATTTCCACTTCTGAGCAATTGTTGAGTCAAAGAAAAGAAATTTATGGAATTAATAAATTCACTGAAAGACCATCACGCGGATTTTTTGTTTATGTGTGGGAAGCCCTTCAAGACACTACCCTCATGATACTTGCATTTTGTGCCTTTGTCTCTCTGCTTGTTGGGATAATGACAGAAGGATGGCCGAAGGGTGCCCATGATGGACTCGGAATTGTTGCGAGCATTTTGCTTGTTGTATTTGTCACTGCAACTAGCGATTATAAACAGTCCCTGCAGTTCAAGGACTTGGAAAAGGAGAAGAAAAAAATTACTGTTCAGGTTACTAGAGACGGGTTCAGACAGAAGTTGTCAATATATGATCTACTTCCTGGTGACATTGTTCATCTGTCTATTGGGGATCTGGTCCCAGCTGATGGACTCTTTGTTTCTGGGTTTTCTGTGCTGATAAATGAATCTAGTTTAACTGGAGAGAGTGAACCGGTCAATGTCAATTCTGTGAATCCTTTCCTCCTATCAGGAACTAAAGTTCAAGATGGATCATGCAAGATGCTTGTGACTACTGTTGGAATGAGAACCCAGTGGGGTAAACTGATGGCTACCCTCAGTGAAGGAGGAGATGATGAAACTCCCTTGCAGGTCAAACTAAATGGTGTGGCAACCATCATTGGGAAAATAGGCCTGTTTTTTGCTGTTGTGACATTTGCCGTATTGGTTCAAGGATTGTTCAGCCGCAAGCTTCAAGAAGGATCTCACTTGATATGGTCTGGAGATGAAGCATTGGAAATCTTGGAATTTTTTGCCATAGCTGTTACAATTGTTGTTGTTGCTGTTCCCGAAGGCTTGCCTTTGGCTGTGACATTGAGTCTTGCTTTTGCCATGAAGAAGATGATGAACGATAGGGCACTTGTCCGGCATTTGGCTGCTTGCGAGACAATGGGATCAGCCACAACTATCTGCAGTGACAAGACTGGGACACTAACTACTAACCACATGACTGTTGTGAAAGCTTGCATTTGTGGGAAAATCCAAGACGTGGGAACCTCTAAAGGAGCTTCTAACTTGTCCTCTGAAATTCCTGATTCATCTTTTAGAGTTCTGCTCCAATCTATTTTTAACAACACAGGAGGAGAAGTTGTTACAAACAAAGATGGAAAGATTGAGTTATTGGGAACACCCACTGAAACCGCTATTTTGGAATTTGGGATGTTGCTTGGAGGCGATTTCAAGGCAGAACGACAAGCATCAAAGGTTGTGAAAGTTGAGCCCTTCAATTCTCTGAAGAAGCGAATGGGTGTTGTTCTAGAGCTTCCTGAAGGTGGCTTCCGTGTGCACTGTAAAGGTGCATCTGAAATAGTTTTAGCTGCATGTGACAAATTCTTGAGTCCAGATGGCAAGGTTGTTCCCCTTGACAGAGCATCCATCGATCTTCTGAATGGCATCATTGAACGATTTGCTAGTGAAGCCCTTAGAACTCTCTGCCTAGGGTACATGGAGATTGGAAACGAGTTCTCTGCTGAAAGTCCTATTCCTAGCTCTGGGTATACATGTATAGGCATTGTGGGTATCAAGGATCCAGTTCGTCCTGGTGTCAAGGAGTCTGTTGCGATTTGTAGGTCTGCTGGCATTACTGTCAGGATGGTAACTGGAGACAACATAAACACTGCAAAAGCAATTGCAAGAGAATGTGGAATTTTGACTGATGGGGGTGTGGCAATTGAAGGCCCTGAATTCCGTGAGAAGAGTGAGGAGGAATTACAAAAAATTATTCCAAAACTTCAGGTGCATTTTCTTAGCTTTTTAAAAGACACTTACGTAGAAACATGTATACCACATTTTCAAAAAATTCAGCTAGATGTGTCTCACAAACATTTAATTAATTAATTAATTAATTAATTATACTTTTTAACTTAACAAGAAACCTAAGGTGTTAATTCTATTCAAATTCCCAATTCCTACTTTACTATTCTTGCACAGCTAATTACGGCGAATAATAAGATGTTACAAATCCATGTCTTTAGTGGGAAGTAGAGTAATAATGATGACAATTACTATATCAATGTGAAAGAAAATACATTATTTCTTTACTTATGGGTGAAAGCACGGCTCTAGAAAGTCATATGACAATAATTGAAGTAGAAATTTGCTTTACTATTCAAGTTTTGTAATTCCCTTTGACGAGAAGTGACTTTTCTGTTGACCACAATTTGATATTATCATGTGTTCAGGTAATGGCTCGATCTTCACCAATGGATAAGCATACCCTTGTAAAACAGTTGCGCACCACTTTTGAAGAAGTTGTTGCTGTGACTGGTGATGGTACAAATGATGCTCCAGCGCTTCATGAAGCTGATATAGGACTTGCAATGGGCATTGCTGGAACTGAGGTATTTACCAAGATGCTGCCCCTTTTTCTGTCTAGTAAAAGACTCTCTCTCATATCATTAAGTCACACATTTTTAAGGACCACTTTCCTTTTTCTACATATAATATGCTGAAAGACAGCCAAATTGTTTGATTGATACTTTTTGTTTATAGGAAGGTTCAATCCCTGTAGTTTTCTTGTGCCAGTAAGCCTATTTTGTTATGTTACGAACATTCAATTCAGGTAGAATTTGATTTGAAATTGTAGTTGTACAAATCAGAGCTCCATGATCTTATTACTGACTTTGGATATCAGAAGAATTCACTAGGGTTGCAAAGTGGTTGTCATAAGGGTAAATAATATTGGATTAGATATGGATAATGCAAGAAAGAAGCGACTCCTTTGCCGAAGGAAGTCTCTGTTTCTCTCTTTCTTTGGGGGTAGAGCTCCATATCCTTTAGTTTTTAGGTCAACTTGAACCTTTTTGACATTAAGGTAATTAACCATTTGCATTATCTCAGGTGGCAAAAGAAAGTGCTGATGTGATAATTTTGGATGATAACTTCTCTACAATTGTGACAGTGGCCAAATGGGGGCGTTCAGTTTACTTAAACATACAGAAGTTTGTTCAGTTCCAGTTAACAGTCAATGTTGTCGCCCTTGTTGTTAACTTTTCTTCAGCCTGTTTAACCGGTAAGCAGACTGCGATATGTTTTCTTTCTTATTTATATTTCTTTTTCTTTCTCATGACAATCCTTTAATGTTTAACTTTTGTCTTGGGTGTTGACAATGCTCCTAGGAAATACTCCCCTTACTGCTGTTCAGCTTCTCTGGGTCAACATGATCATGGACACTCTAGGAGCCCTTGCATTAGCCACAGAGCCTCCTAATGATGATTTAATGAAGAGAACACCGGTTGGTAGGAAAGGGAACTTCATCACTAATGTGATGTGGAGGAATATCATAGGGCAGTCTCTGTATCAGTTTGTGATAATATGGTTTCTACAGACTAGAGGAAAAGAAACCTTTCATCTGGTTGGCCCAGATTCTGATTTGATTTTAAACACCCTTATTTTCAACTCATTTGTGTTTTGCCAGGTAATCATGAATCATCAGGCGTTTGACTTAATCATATTGTGTTTATTAATGAATCGGAGTATTGGAAATGCTAGGATTCAAATTCGGAAAATGATACTCATCCATAAGCCTAAGGGCTTATGCATGCATGCAGTACTTTATTATCACTGCTGTCATTAGGAGAGTAATTTCCATATACAGTGTTGACTAATTAGCCCTGTTACTGTAATATCAAGTAATAATTGCAGCATGCCGGTGGATATGATGGCGAATATCTTGCAAATTTGGATAGGGAATAAATGCAGCCCCCATCTTATGCTGATAAGGATTTGCTTAGAGTATTTACTTCCTACTCTGTGCCTTCTTTCAGGTTTTCAATGAGATCAGCTCTAGGGAAATGGAGAAGATAAACGTCTTCAAAGGGATATTGCAGAACTATGTGTTTGTGACTGTGCTTTCATGCACTGTTATCTTTCAAATCATAATCATTGAGTTCCTGGGCACGTTTGCAAGCACATCTCCTCTAAGTTTGCAGCAATGGTTCGTGAGCGTTTTACTTGGGTTCCTTGGCATGCCGATTTCAGCAGCTCTGAAATTCATCCCTGTGTAATGAAACAGATCAATCAAAACTTGAAAAGGTACCTGACGACTTGCCGATGGATGGAGGTTTTGTTTGTGGGATCATTTCAAAGATCATTATCATTCTTTTGATACTGTAATATCATTCATATAAGGGGGTTTTTATTTTATTTTATAATTTGGGCTCCTATATTGGGTATAATAGTGAATCTCCCAAGATATAATATCCTCAACTTCTGAAAAGAGGTCAGTTTTTGTAAACCTGATGTGTGATAGCTGTTCTAACTTCTAACTATTGAAACGTTTAAGGATTTAGTTTGCGCTAACAGATGTTGATCCTGCAGTTCATTCTTGCCATTGCTCTTGTTATTGCCTAATACCGCCTTGCCTTATATGCTATATTAGCATATAGACACCACTGTTTTCTTAGTAGGCCATCGTGATTGCATATTTTGTGCAGGTGCTATTTTCTCTGCCTCGAGGCCTCTTCAAAGTAGCGCACACGTGGTACCAAAGGATTGGAGTCGATACGAGCGATTGTAAAAAATTTCTCTAGTTCTAACTAGCATGATATCAGAACCACCAAGTGGGAAAAGTAAAATATCAAATAAAATGCAAGTCTAAATTATTTTTACGTGTAAATTGAGATTATATAGACCCTTGGTAATTCAGCTACAGTCAAAGATCAAAGATGCTATTTTTCTAGTTTACCAAGTTTTGGCAGCACGACTATCAACTCTTTTGGCCATTCAAAAAATAAAAAAACATTAACGACTATGATATGCCATGCAATCTGTTTATTTTTTATTTTTCTGTTGTACATGAAAGGGTAAAAAGAAAGTGTAAAACTGTAAAATTTCTGAACAGCAGCCCATAACTTAAGACAGGTAATTTTTATTTTTTGGCTTATGAGGTTAAGACTGGTAACTTTAGTTTCAAAATATAATATACGGGGATAACATTTTTTGCTATTCCGGTTAATAACACAATGACACATGGAAAAATTATCTCATGTATCATTGTGTTATTGACCGAGAATTCCCATTACCAAAAAGATATTTTCGTTTCGATGACACCTCAGCAATGCATAGCTAAGCCAACCCCAATGTTTTCAAAGAAGAAAAAGAGCAGGGCCCGCCTCAAAAGGCAATCCCCAAATATTCAAACAAATCTAATCACATTCACCTTTACAAAATTGTTTAGATGGCCAACATGCAACATAGAAGCATCAAATCACACAAACTAAAAAGTATTCCAAACATCCAATCAGAAACCCAAATCAACCCCCCTCCTCCGATAACCAAAACAGATATCTGAACCCAAGAATTATGAGTACCTAAAAATAAATAAAAAAGCAAAAACTCAAGAGTTAACAGCAACCAGCTCTGATCTGTAAATTTTCTTAAGGAAGCTGTTTCTGATCATCTCCAAATCATGACTAAGAACTATACACACTCTTTAAACCAATATGAAAACTACTAATTGTCGTATATGGTATTTACCAAAGTAGCAGAATCACTTCTCTGATGTAACTCAAGAATTTCCTACAATATCTACTGGCCTCCAAATTCTTTAGGTTAATTCGTCTATGGCACCTGCATTATCGTGTAATATGAATACACAGCTTCCTGTGAATAAGACAAACAAGTCCAAGAGGACCAAGAACATCGATCAGAATCCAATCTTTGATTTATTTGATGCAACAAACAACTAATGAGGAAATGACTTCTATAGTTTTATTTAGAAAGGAAAAAAAGACTCACAGTTTCCAGGAAGTACAATTCAGGAATGGATGTTATCTTGGCTTCCAATGCTTCTTGTGCTAAGTTCTGATCCACTGCCATCAATGTGGCGGCAGCTGCTATGGCAGATGGTCGATGATGCATTAAATGAATCTCTACATTAATTAACAAACGTAATAATTAATACATAATCACCATCTAAATCAACCCATAAACAAAAAAATTAATCGCATGCATGATTCAAACATAAATGTTCATGGAAATAGTAATAGAAATACCTGTCATTATGGAAAGGAGCCGTTTTTCAATCCCGGATTTTAGACCTGGTGGAGATTCTTGGCACAACTTTGCGATGAAGTTATCAAGAAACGCAAAGGGTGTGATTAAATTCATCTTCCATTTCAAGACTACCAATACCATAAGCTCCATTTTCTTAATATTTCTGCCTTGGAATTCGAGTGTGTATTGTGAAAGTGGTGGGCGGTTCATCTCCTCCATCTTTGCAGCCAATAATAGACATGCCACTGAAATCAATCTAACGAAAGCAGCTCTTTTTTTTTCCTGCAAACCATAAATAAAATCATTATCAACAGCAACCCATTTGAATGGCATTGTCAATTAAACTTGCATTGGTTGTTCATATCCCAAAAAGAAAGAAAGAAATTCTTACAGGGATGGCTTCCAGGGAAATGAACCGATCAAAGTATGTGATGGCCAAATATGCTGTTCTGGGATGAAACCCAAGAGCTCTTGTTCTCTGAAATTCAAGAAACACCATTAACATAAATATATTTCAATTCAATTCCAATTTCCAATTTGAAGCTTCATAAATGCAGTTCAATCAAATACAAGAAATGGGTTTGTTTGAGACTAACTGTTTGAACCCATGTGATAGCTTGCAAGCGAGCTTCTTGAACCCAGTCGTCAATGACCAAATCTTCATCCGTCCTGAACCCAAATGCGATCTCTTTGTCAATTAAGCTATGCAAGTGGGCTTCTTCCAACTCAATTTCGTTTTGATTAACGACTACGTTTACTTCTGCCATCTCTTCATCATCTTCATACAAAAAGCTCGGATCTTCATGGCAATAAAGGTCTGGCGATGAAGGATCTCCGTTCATTTTTGTTTTCTCTGTTATTACATCCACGCAGAAAATCTAGTAGGTAGGAACAGAGTAAACAAAGCCAGAAACCAAATATTAAACCACGGAACCCAAAGATTTGGAGAGAGAAAACGGTTGACCACCAAGACTGAATAGCACTCTCAATATATTTATACAGTGAAGTGAAAACAGAGAGGGAGAGAGGTTGAAATGGAGACGAAATGGGGCTCATTGTTTAGCAAGAATGCGACACCGTTTTAACGGTTACAGGCTCAACAGAATTGGGTAGTTGGGTATTTTTATCAATCAATTTGCATTGTCTCTGCAAGTTCTGTTTTTGGTTGTGGAAGATGAGGACTAAAAAGCTCGACTCAGAAGTGAGAAATCTGCAGACCCAAAAAAAAAAAAAAGGGAGTTTCAGGGCACGTGTGACGGGTTTGGGCCAATAGCAAGACTTCATGATAATCATAAAATTGGTTCTTATTCCATGAGAGCAGTTCACAGAGCTGATTAGACTGACCGACTTAAGCCATAAAATTAGGGTTAATGAACACTCATCATGTGCCAAAAACCTTTGGACCTCACCAACGGTTTTTTGGTTCTTTGAGGAAGACTTGTTGTTAAACTTAGACACAGATGTTTAGGAAGCTTTAGAGCCGCTCAAAATGCTTTGTTGCAGTTAGATTAGATTATCTACTTGACCTCCAAGTTAACCTAGCTGATTATTACTGTTAATTATTATTTTTATTTGGGTCTCCTCCAGGCAACTAGGTTTGATTAATGAAGTTAGATCCAAGTTTTCGGCAGACCCAACTTGAAATTCCAGCTAGCTAGCGTTCCAACATTTTTGAAATTATATGTATATCGACCTTTCTAGTTATATATATGGAAGTATAAAGATTTTTACTATTATAAATCCATGAGTTGTTTGTTTAGATATTAAAGAATTTTGCTAAAATCAATCGTTATCATCCATGATGAGACACGAATTTCACATGGAGTTACGGTTGGAATCATTCACGTTCGAGTGGGCGACTAATTGTGTGTAGCAGCTCAGTATCAACGGTCGTGATTATTCAAAGCAAACATTAGCCAAGGTAGCGTGTTGTGTTGTAGGAAGCAAGTCCTAGAATTTAAGCGACAACCACAACCACAACCTTTAACCAAATGACGACCCACCCGCCCTCCTGGAACGCTGCGTTTCAATTAAAGACTTTGATTCAATCGCGCCTAAAACTAACACAACGAAATTTTGATTCGAATTCAATCACGCCTACAATAAATCTAAAGCCCTAGAAGCTGGAACTTTCTTTCAAACCCCACGTGGCGCAAATGCTACACTTGTCTACGCGCCTCCTGGCGCCTTCCCACTCTACCAACTCGCTCGTCCTGCCGACATCGCCAAGTCCGAAACAACGTCATCTTATCACGAAGTGGATCAAATCAACGGATCAGAACTAACCACGTACTGACCCACACGATTGCTTGGAGCAGCGGTCCGCATGTTGCCCCCGAATATTCGATGCCATATCAATTGAATAATTCCCATTTAAGCAGAGAGAAGAGACAATAAACAAACTGCGGTTCGAGTTTTCGACCATTTAAGCTCCTCCTCCTCCCAAGTCCTAATCCAATTTGTCTCTCCCAGAAAGAAAAACCCCTCTCGCTCTATTTTTACCCTAAAATCAGATTCAAAATAAATATTACAAAACAACCCTAATCTTTTAATGGCTAAATTGTCCTCGGGATTTTCTGAATATCTGTTTTTTCTCGTCTCCAACCGATTCGATTTCACCCATCTTTTTATATTTTCTTTTTGGCAACGCTCTCCTTCTCAGATTCTCAGTCAGCCCTGTCATTTTTTCTGACGAAGAAACCATAGTCAGGAGGAGCCCTCGTACAACTCGCAGATGGGGAAGCGTAAGCCTTTCTAATTTCACCTTCTGGATTGTGTTGTGGTTGGATGTTAATTAGGGTTCCAGTTCAATTTCAGGTTTTGCTTACATCAATCTGATTGTTTGAGATCTCAAATTTGCATTCTATTCATTCCCTTTTGTTTTTGTTGCAACAATTTTGTTGATTCTAATGGTTTTTGGAGCTCATGATACATGGACGTTGCTTTTCGACCCAAAAAATTTACAATTGTAGAATTTCTGGTGCTGAGGTTTGTATGGATTGGCATTGGCAGGTAATTCTCAGCGTAAGAATGCGGCGTTGTTGGACAGCGATGATGATAATAGTAGTGTGAGTTCAACGTCGACCGTTCGCTCTGATCGTATGTCAGTGGCCGGGAATGAAGAAATGCAAGTGGACAAGGATAGTTTACTGGACCAAGCTGTAGATGCTTTGTATGAGAAGAGGTACTCTCTTTACAATTTTGTTGCTTTTAATCATCATGTTCTGTAATGATAATAATAAGAGAGAAGGGTGAAGAAGCTGGTTTGATTGTTGCCCATTTTGCTCATATATTTACTTTGTGTGAAGAAGCTGGTTTGGTTGTTGCCCATTTGGCTCATATATTTACTTTTTGTGAAGAAGCTGGTTTGACTGTTGCCCGTTTTGCTTATATGTTTACTTTGTGTATGTGAAGGGGTTCCACAAGAGAAAAAGCTCTGTCATCAATTATTGAAGCGTTTAATAGCAACTTACAGCATCAGTTTGTGGAAAAGAAGTAAGCCCGTGCATTCAATTATTTCCATTAATGCTCTTGAGGCCTAGGGATGCCTAGTTCTTACCTTATTGTGTTTCTCTGACACAATGTTGAGTCATTTTTTTTTAATACTATGATTCTTATACACTTATTTGGTGTTCCTCAGATTTGCAACTTTATTGCATCAGTGTCTGAATTGCATAAAAAAGGGTTCGTCCAAAGAGATATGTTTGGCGTCTCATGTGATCGGTTAGTCCATTACCCCTTTTTTGGCTCATTCACATTCTTTCCCCCCAGTACCAAAATCAGTTTTTAATCTTTTCATTTATGTTTGCAGGACTATTGGCTTTGACTGTCGGATGTGGGGACAATGCTAATGAAATACTGGAGGATTCACTACCTGTGATTTCGCAGGCTTTCAAATCAGGATCTGAAGCAACAAAGACATCTGCGGTATCTAAGATATTATGCCTTTTTAGTATTTAACTTCAATGGCTTTCTGGTGGTTGGATTATCCTGATGCTGGTCCTGCGTTCCTTGTTCTGAACAAACAATTTGGATTTTGTTCGCAGTTACTGGAGTGTTTAGCTATTATCACTTTTGTTGGTGGTAGTGACCCAGAGCAAACAGAAAAATCAATGCAAGTTATGTGGCAAGTGGTTCATCCAAAACTGAGTTCCAATGTAAGTATTCATGTTCCAGCTACTTTTCCAGAAAGTGTGTGAGCATGCTGTTGTTTGAGCTTACTTATCTATTTTTCAGGTAGTTGCAGTCAAACCCTCTGCCCCTGTAATAACCACCATGGTGTCTGCATGGTCCTTTCTTCTTACGACTATGGATGGGTGGAATCTTAATCCCAAAGATTGGCAAGAGTGAGTAAAACCTTAACTGGTGTCGCATTTAATTACCCTATTTCAGCATGGAAACTCATAATGGTTCGTAGATTGAATCATCCAAGTAATTTTGCCCTTTATTTTCTTGGCCAATAATGTAGGTCCATATCATACTTATCTAGTCTGCTAGACAAGGATGACCGGTCTATACGGATAGCTGCTGGTGAAGCTTTGGCTTTAATTTTTGAGCTAGGAATTTTAGAGAAGTTCTCTGCGGGAGCTAAAAGTTCAAGTGATAGCTCAACTGAAGAAGGAAATAAACCTCGGGAATATGTACATATACAAGGACTAAAGGCAAAAATTATTATTCAAGCCAGAAACCTTTCAGCTGAGGCAGGTGGTAAAAGTTCTGCTAAAAAAGATCTTAGCAACCAGCGGAATACGTTTCGGGATATCTTGGAATATTTTGAGGTATATCTAGATTCTTTGTATTAAAATAAATACTAATTGCATTGATCCTGTATAGTGATCTCATTCTTCAATTTTAGGATGGTTATTCTCCTGAAATTTCAATAAAGATTGGTAGTGAATCGTTACAGACATCTACATGGGCACAGATGATACAGGTCCTTCTCATCCTCTGCTTCTCCTCCCGATTTTTGTATTCACATTTTTATTTTGTGGATTGTTCAACTCATCAATTCTTTTCCATTTTGAAAATATTACAGTTGAACTTTTTGAAGCACTTTCTTGGAGGAGGTTTTATCAAGCACATGCAGGTTGCGGCTTTTCTCGACCTTCAATAATTTCCTTGTCATTTTCTGGGCAGTATTCATATCTATTTTTTATCGTCACATTATGTAATTCCTCTTTAGGTAAGCAAAGGCTAATTGATTCATAAATTTTCTGAAACAGGAAAACGAACTCCTTCAGGATGTTTTTGGATTCACTCCAAAGAAAAAGTATCTTTCAGATTCTGAACATCGTCTATCCAGTAGTGAAAAGGTTCGGTTCTGACTACTACACCAAATATAGTCTCCTGTTCATTCGATATTCTTGAGCTTTGCCGAGTTAGTAATATTTGCAGTTGCTTTGTTTAATTCTATCCGTTTGTTTGTTTTACTATAATAAATCCTATTCTTTGTTACAGAGGCTGTTTAGATCACCAAACTCAGTTGTCAACAAAGCAAGGACCCAGCAACTTAACAAACAGCGAATGTTATCAGAGGTATATATGCTTGTGAACAGTCTTCTTCTTCACTGTCACTGCAAGAACTCCAACATGCTTGCTGTTCATTGATCTTCATTCTACTTTCCTGCTCACTTTTTCTTTCTCGTCGTGTGTTTTCAGGGTAAAAATATTGGCCGCTTTGCAGCTAATATGGGGGATGATGCGTAGAAATGGACGTGGTTATATTGTTTTGCACCTATTTTTCGTCTCCATGCTGGTTTTTTGTCATCAGATTCCAAACAATTATGTCTCGTAGTCATTTAGTTGTTGGCGGTGGCGCCAAATACACATCGAATGGGTTACACTATCGTTTGTAACATTAAATTTTTTATGCGACAATGGCATTAATGAAGAAAATTATTTTATACATTGGATTTTTAATCTCTGATTTCTTGTTTTTTGAATTTGCGTTGATTATTTCTGAAGTTTACCTAAGGTAGTTTCAATTATGTATGGAAAGCGGAAATAGAGAAAAGTGTCTTATCAAATTACGAAAGCAGTTTAACAAATTAGTTTGTTCTCTTTTTGGCCTTGCAAGATTGATCTTCTATTCTATATGCAGCCTCGTGATCTAATGTCATTGAGTGGAGAATTCTGATATCGGTTTTTGTCTTTCTCATTACGTGACTAGTCATGTGATTAGATCGACACATGACCAGAAACCGCGAAGCACTCTTCCTTTGATTAGATTAACACATGGATGTATACGACGGGGAACCATTGAAATATACCATGGTTTTTCAGTTGTAAGCAGTGATGGACCTATTAAGGCGTAAGGAGGTGCAGCTGCACCTTCTATCGTTGGAAAAGTTATTGTAAGTGTTG